TTACTTCTGCTTGCTTTGGGCTTACTTTACTTTTATTTTTCTAGTTCCTTAAGTGGCAGCTTAGATTATTAATTTTTTGTTTGGTTGTTTTCAGTCAAAAGATTTTAATTTTTTCCTAAAAGTTTTATAGTTTTACATTTACTACCATGTAAGTTTTTTTTTTTTTAATTGTATTTGGGCTCTGGGGTACATGTGCATATCCTGCATCCTGCAGGATTGTTGCATAGGTACATACATGCCATGGTGGTTTGATGTCTCTATCCCCTCCCCACCATCGCCTACATCAGGCATTTCTCCTGGTGTTATCCCTCCCCCTCCTCCCCGCCCCCCAGTCTCCCCTTCCCTCCCCTCTACCCCTCCATCTAGCCCTGTGGGTGTCATTCCCATCCCTGTGCCCAAGTGTTCTCATTGTTCATCACCCGCCTATGAGTGAAAACATGCAGTGTTTGGTTTTCTATTCTTGTGTCAGTTTGCTGAGAATAATGGTTTCTAGGTTCATTCATGTCTCTACAAAGGACACTAACTCATCATTTTTTATGGCTGCATAGTATTCCATGGTGTATATGTGCCACATTTTTTTTTTTTTTGGTCTAGTCTATCATCGATGGGCATTTGGGTTGGTTCCAGGTCTTTGCAAACGTAAACAGTGCCGCAATGAACATACGTGTGCATGCGTCTTTGTGATGGAATGATTTATAATCCTTTGGGTGTATACCCAGTAATGGGATTGCTGGGTCAAATGATATTTCTTTTTCTAGATCCCTGAGGAATTGCTACACTTTCTCCCATAATGGTTGAACTAATTTACACTCCCACCAACAGTGTAAAAGTGTTCCTTTTTCTCCATATCCTCTCCAGCACCTGTTGTCTCCAGATTTTTTAATGATTGCCATTCTAACTGGTGTGAGATGATATCTCAGTGTGGTTTTGATTTGCATTTCTCTAATGACCAATGATGATGAGCATTTTTTCATATGTTTGTTGGCCGCATATTTGTCTTCTTTTGAAAAGTGTCTGTTCATATCCTTCTCCCACTTTTGAATGCGTTTGTTTTTTTTCCTGTAAATCTGCTTTAGTTCTTTATAGATTCTGGATATTAGCCCTTTGTTTGATGGGTAGATTGTGAAAATTTTTTCCCATTCTGTTGGTTGCCAGTTTACTCTAATGATTGTTTCTTTTGCTGTGCAGAAGCTCTGGAGTTTAATTATTTCTAGCACAAAAATTTAGCTTTATACATTTTCATCTCAGCACAGCTTTACCTGTGACCCACAAATTTTGATACATTTTATTTTTATTTACAGTTCAATGTAGTTTTTATTTCTTTTAATATCTCTTTAACTCATGAATTTTTTTAATGTGTGCCTTTAATTTCTAAGTGTTTGTAGATTTTCATGTTGTCTTTCTGTTACTGTTTTCTGATTTGATTCCATCACAGAGAAAACATCATGTATTATTTCAATTCTTTTAATATTTTGTGGATTGTTTTTATGATCAAGAATATGTCTATATTGGCATATATTCCTTGGGTGTTTGAAATAATGTAAATTATATTCTTTTCCTGTGGAGCATTCTATACATTTCATTTAGGCCTTATTGAAACTTGTTGCTGGGTTCTTCTACATCTTGCTGATTCTCTGTATAGTTGTTCTATCAATTGTTCAGAGAGGGTATTGAAATCTCCAACTATAAATGTGAATTTTTCTATTTCTCCATTCAGTTCTAATAATGTTTGCTACCTATATTTGCAGCTTTTCTGTTTAAAGCATACACATTTAAGAGTGGTATGTCTTATTGGTGGATTGACACTTTCAGCATTATGTAATGTCCCTATCTGTCCCTGGTATGTTTTGTTGTTGTTGTTTTTGCTCTGAAGTTGTTTTGCTTTATCTGATATCACTAGAGCCACCTCTGTTACCTTTTAAAATTAATATTTGCATGGCGTATCTTTTTCCATCATTTTACTTTCAACCTTTCTAAATCATTATATCTGAGGTGAACATCTTGCAACAGCCTATCGTTGGATCCTGTTTTCTTCTTTGCCAATCTCTGTCTTTTAATTGGTATGTTAAGACCATTTTCATTTATTGTACTTATTGATAATGCTTAATTTTGCCAATTTACTTTTGTTTTCTCTTTGTTCTCTGGTTTTTAATTTTTCTATTTTCATTTTTCTGACTTCCTGTGGGCTACTCGAAGAATGTTTAAAGTTCCATTTGTTTCATTTATAGCATTTTTTAATCTATCTTTCTGTATAACATTTTTAGGGGTTGCTCTAGATATTACATTATATATGCATAACTTATAATAATCTACTGGTGTCAACATTTTGCCAGTTTCAATGAAACCCTACCTCTCTTTTCACCCCTTTATTCTCCTCTTTATAATGTAGTTGTGTTAAATATTCCTTCCACATACTTTACAGACACATCAGACAATGTTATAATTGATGTTTTAAGCTTCAAACATAACTTGGAAAACTTAAGAAGAGAAGGAAAGTCCGTTATGTTTACCCATAATTTTTTCTCTTTCCATTGGTCTTTATTCCTTTCTAATGTTCAATATTCTTTCTTTTATCATTTCCTTTCTGCTTAGAGAATTTTCTCTAGATATTCTCTTAGTAGAGGTATGTTGTTGACTAATTTTGTTAGTGTCTCTTAATCTGAGAATGTCTTGATCTTCCTTCCATATCTGAAGCATATTTTCACTGGATATAGGATTCTGGATTGACAGTTTTCTTTATTCAACTCTTGAAAAATATTATGCCACTTCCTTCTGGAAACCATGGTTTCTGACCAAAAATTCACTCTTATTCAAATTGTTTTTCTTCTATAGTTATCATTTCTGTTTCACTGCATTCAAAGCTTTTCTCTTCATGTTTCAGAAGTTTTGTTATTACAGGTCTTGGATTGGATTTCTTTACATTTATACTGTTTGAGCTTCACTCATCTTAAATTTCCAGATTTATGTCTTTTGCCAGATTTGAGGGGTTTTCAGCCATTATTTCTTGGAATACTTTAGCCTAATTCTCTTTCTCTTCTCCTGGAATTCCAGTGACTTAAAAGTTGGATATTTTGTTTATAATCCTATGTGTCCCTGAGTCTATGTTTATTTTTTTTCTAAGAAATTTTCTCTCTGTTGTTCAGATTTATCATTTCTGTTGTTCTATCTTAATTCTTTCCTCTGTTCTTACGAATCTCCTCTTGATTCTATTCATTGAATTTGTTTACATTATTGTATTTTTCAGTTCTAAAATTTCCATTTGCTTCTTCTTTATGTTTTCTGCTTTTTTGTTGAGAATTCTGATTTCTTTGCTGAGACTTTCTGTGTTTTTTTTTATTATTATTTGTTTTCAAGCATGGTTGCTATTGTTGTTTGAAGCACTTTAATGATTACTACTTTAAAATCCTTGTCAGGCAATTCTGACATCTGTGTCATCTTTCTGTTGGCATCTACCAATAGTATTTTCCATTCTGTTTGATATCTTACTGGTTCTTGGTATGACAAGTGCTTTGCCACTGAAACTTGGGCATTTTGGATATTACATTATAAGACTGGATCTTATTTAATATCTGCTTTAGCTGACTTCCTCTGACACTGCTCTGGCAGGGAAAGAGGCACCATCTTATTCTTCATTGACATCAGGGAGGGTGGCACTCTTCATTACTGCTGGGCAAGGGTGAGGATTCCAGCTCCCCACTAGGCTTTTACTGATACTACTCTAGTGGGGATGGGGAAGGGCACCTCATTACTGCTATGTGGGGGTGGAGTCGAGGCTCCTCATTTGGCTTTTGCTGATGGAATATAATGGGACTGCATTTTCTTCTATGTTGTTTGGCTAGAGTAGAGCAGTTATTGTTTAAAAGTTTTCCGTCTTGCTAGGCTACCCATTTCTTGTTCCATTGGCTAGAAAGAGCAGGCTTTTGTTGGGGTATTTCAGTGTTCATAAGCATTCTGGGTTTCTAGCTTCTTCAGCTCCAAGTCTGGTATATATGAGGCAAAAAGAAAATCCGGAATACTCACCACTGCATCATTGTTCAGGTCCCAAGATCCCTAACCAGTATACCTTTTTCTTTTCACATTTTAGTGTCATATTATGTTTGTTTTATATTTAATGCCCAGAGGTTTTAGTGATACTCAGAGAATGGGGAAAAATACTTCATATTTCCAGAGGCAGAGGTTTAGACATTGAGATTTTAGAGCCTGATGCTGTACTGCCAAGGAAGTTTATGGGAAGTAGAGTTGTCCTCATTTATTAATGTCTTAGCAGAGCTTTTATTTCATGTCTACATCATGAAAAACAAAAAGAAATGAAACTTTACCTGGGTTTGCTTATATCTACTTATCCGTCATGGAGGAGTAGCCATGATCATAGCCTGCTCAGTCAGTTTCCTGTAAATCAGTGCACCAGAGTTTCCTGAGCCCCTTTCAACATTCATTACTTCCATCCTATGTCTATCAGGCTTTGAACCGTTAGTCTGCTCACTTGGCTGTATCCTAACAGTGCCACAGTTGGTGGCTGCTTCTTCTATGAACCATAAGGCATACTCTAGTAGAGCTGAAGAGGCTCTAAGCCATCACCTAATTTAGCCATCATGTTTTCATATAAGGAAACTGCATCTCAGAGAACAGAGGAGCCTTTCCATGGATCCCGCTGTATATTACACAAAAGCAAATCCAGACCTAGGACACAGATTCCATGCCTGCAAGTGCAATGTTATTTTAGTTGCATCAAGCTACTCCTCCATCCACCCCTCTGCCTTCCAGTGAACTTTGTTCTGCCTCTGGTCAAGGACTGCGATTTTATCCCAGCCAACTGTGTCACAGAAATGCCACACATCCTTGGGGATGGTGGTACTCAATGAGGGTGGTGGGTGGGAAGAGGGGAAAAAGAATGTGGCTGACTCCACACAAACCTGTCTTCAGAGTGAAAGTCTGTGATTCACGGGGTCAGTGGTCTCATCTTCATATCTGAAAGACAGTTTACTTTTTGTCTCCCTAAGCCCTGTGTCTAGGTCGTTTGGGAAACGCCTTGGAGAGTCAAGAATAAAATTGCAGGTCAAACAATGGATGACTGGAAAAGTCGGCTTGTAATCAAGAGCATGCTTCCCCATTTCACCATGGTGGGAAATCGTCAGGAGCCCAGAAAGCTCCAGGAATCGGTCAGACAATGGGCTATGGGGGGAGGGGGGTGTTGAATGCTTCTAATCTTAAACTTGAACATAAGATGTGTTATTGAAATTTTCTGTGTAAACTTGGTGGCAGGAATTCAACCCAAAATATAAGGAACTCAAACCTGATCCAGAAGAGATATAGGAGATGAGCTGATCCCACCCCTTGTAGGTTTAACTAGAAATACAGTCTAAGGCTACATCTGGATTCCCAGTCTAGTGATCACTGCACTGCACCCATTCAATAAGAAAAATGAGGAAAGATGAGAGAGGAAAGAAGATTTTACTTTTTCTCCTAATAGAAGCCACTCAGAATGGCAAGCACTAGATATATTGCATGAGCTTCCTGGAATGACTGAGAACAAAAAGCTAGTGAATAGGACACAGAAAGGGCTTCCCATTCAACTTTCTGGCCCTGTTGTCCTTTTAAAAACTCATCTGACACACTTCTACTGTCTTCTCAGGGAACTCAGACATCATTCAAGTGTTCTGAAACTCAGGACTAGGGATTCCAGTGGTAGTTCTAGGAGCAGATTGATGATAGAAGGGACTATGAGAGCCATTGGCCAGTTTAATTTGACAACAAAAGCCTGCAACACCACCAATCTACCAAGATTAGCTCTGTTAGCAGGAGTTGCAGCAAACATAATAGCTGTTATCTCAGGGTATTAGGGCCACAGAGGAGTGGCTTGCTTAATCTCTGAAATTAATAGAGCAGAGAGGAAACGGCTCTTATAGAGCCGTGGGTCTGCTTCCTTCCTTTTCATAGAACTGGAAGCCCTGGGCTCTGAGGTAATGCCACTTCACATAACTAGAGGGCCTGTCTTCTCCAATTCCCAGGGCAATCCACTTTCAGCAACTCAGCTTTCTATTTATTTTTAAATTTTATTTTAAAAATTCTGATACAATTCCACAGATGTGGAAGGGGGTGCTTGAAATCTTATCTCCTTTTTTCTTCATTGCCAACCACCAACAACATGTTGAGAATGTGCTATCAAGTTAAGCATATAGATCAGGCATGCGGCCCCATGAGACCATTTATCTGGCCCCCCGCCACACTTCAGGAAGGGGCATTTCTTTCATTGGTGGTCAGTGAGAGGAGCAGAGTATGTGGTGGCCCTCCAACGGTCTGAGGGACAGTGAACTGGCCCCCTGTGTAAAAAGTTTGGGGATACCTGATATAGACATTGACAAAACTTTGTTTACTGGAGTCCCCAGCTCTCACAGAGACTGCAGTCAGGTGGATGGCAGAGATGGAGACATTACTTAGTCAACAGCCGGTCCAAGTTGCCAGGCCTTAGACCTCTTCTAGAAAGGAATATCTAACCTCCTTCCTAATTACCCTTTATATTTATTGCTTCTTGTTTATGATCAACAACTGAGTCAGTAAAAAAAAAAAAAAAAAAAAAAAAACTTCATAATGCTCCCAGAGTCCATGATCAGTTTTAGTTTGACTTTACATTTCTCTTTTGTTTCCCACTTGTTTCCATTCACTTGGGCCAAATTCTAGGAGAAAGGGTTGATGGACTGTGGATACAGGGGTCCTCTTCCCCTTGTCCCCGACTCCATCAGCACTCTTAAAAAGTGTGACCAGTACATAACTCCTTTGGTTTTGATCAGTGTACAGATGAGTGCACATATTCCAGGGAGGGTTGTCCTTAGAATAGGTCGTTGGAGCAGCCATCTGTGCTTTTACTCTGGAGAAGCTGTGATTGCTTACGTCATTTCCGGGCTTGGCTTCTCTTTGCAGATGGCCTTTAGAGCTCTTTGTAAGCTTTGCCAAAAATTCACATTCATTGCTTTAGGGTCACACTTGGAACTTGATCAGGATCAGCCCTCTACCTCCTCTATGCCACACCTCGTTCTCTGAAAGAGTTCTCTGTGGAGTTCTGAGTGGCTTGAGTATTTCTGAAACTTCAAGCTGACCTAGAACACCAAGAATTCACCCCAGTTGAGGAGATAAAAAAATTTTAAAAATTTACCTCAGGCTCCAAAAGCAACTCTCTCAGATGGTCTTCATCACAGTTGAAACAGCATTGGACAACATTGAGAGAACCCACTTCTTTGACTGGATGTGACAGGTGCTGCGGCAGGGGATCCCTGTAGCCTCAGGAAGATACCCAGTGCTAACATGAAACTCTGCTGCACATGCTGAGGATCTCAGAATCTGGGTCTTTATGGACTAAGGTTGACCAAATAAAAGCAGAATGGGCTGTGAGTTCACCAGGAAACCTGTTGTCTAAACAAGTTATTGCTAAGCCTGGAAAGTGAGTAGTGGAAGGAGGTCCTTTGCAAAAGCTGGGCTTGCATTTACAGAGTGTAGCCTTAGCTGGATCTCAGATGCTCTCCCTTGACACTGCATAACACACAGGGATGATACCCTGAACCCTAGTCCCAGGAAACCATGTGCATCTGGAAGCATGTTTCTTGTACCACTCTCACTCATCCTGAAAGCATTGCTAACAGAGATTTGCTTCAGGCATTCAGCTTAACTGGTTCTCTTGTTCTTTCCCAGAAAAGAAACAAACAAAAAACATGTTTCAAATCAATCTTGAAATAAAATGATATCAGTTCCAGAGGAGAGTTCTCCATAAGCAGTCCTTGAATTTACATGGAAACAATTGTCAGCTCCCTGGAAGGAAAGCGTGCATCCGATGTGACACTTGTTCTTGGCCTAAGACTTGGGCTCAAAATACCTGGGTTCTAGTCTTGTAGTTACTCCTCACTAGCTATGGGGCTTTGTCCATCCTTTGCCCTCTCTGAGAACAAAGTTCAAATGAACCAAGAGTAAGAATAACCACCTTTAATTGAGCATTGACTAGGTGCTAGGCACTTCGCTAAGCATTTGTGGGACAATATCTTCTATAATCCTCATGATAACCTTGGGAAGAAGAAGCTACTAATATCTCCAGGAAACCGAGGCTCAGAGAAGTTAAGCAATGTGACTGAAGTCACAGATAAAAGAAGTGACAAACCCAGGCCAGTGTCATTATCACTATACTCTAATGTCCATTGAAAACCACTAAATGCTGAACACATATCAGGCAGGGGCCATCATCATAAGAAATCTTAGTAATGCAGTACTTTTTCAGCATCTGTTCATTCATTTAATAGTGTAACTGTTTAATGACTCTGGCAATCTGGAAACAGAAAAGTTTGACCTTTTGAACATTTGGGCAAGTACCCAAGATTAATAAGGCATCCAGTCTCTGCAGTTAGTGTATGGAGTTTCAACAAGGGGCAGAACATTTGGTCCTTACCTTTGAAGTTACTATCTTGATTCTTTCCATAGATTGGTAGGTCAAAGGATTGCTAATGTGAGAATCTAGAAGGCATTAGCACTCCCATTTGCAAGTGTTGCAGAGCCTGAATGGAGTTGAGACTCAGTGTGCATGTCACATGCCATCCCTGTCTCAGGCTACGGCCCACTGTAAGTGGCAGTTTCCTCCAGCTCGGAGCAGGCACCTATCCCCTTCATAAGGCAGCTCCTAGACAAAATGCCCCTCATACAAAGGGCATGAAATCTACAGTTGGAGGAGGAAGGGGACACAGTGCTCTTTGCACATCTTCTATGTTCATCCATTTGATGTTAAGAAGTGACTTCCTGTAGCGATTACAATGGGATGCCGTGCCCAGTATTTCTTCTGAGCTTCCCAATCAGTCAGTGGCTGAGCAGGGTGGGGGGATTGTTATTATTCTCCTTCTTTATGGATAAAGAGAATAAAGTCTGAGAAGACCAGTGACTTTCAGAAGGCTATCCAGAAGGTGGGGTCCTACATCAAGGGTCCTCATTTGGGTGGCCCCAAGTGCAGTGTGCTTTCCACCTATGGTACAAAAAAAAAAAAAAAAAAAACAGCCCCTCAGCCCACATCTTTCTCATCTCTAAATGCAAGTAGGACTGAAGAAGGAGGAAAGAGGAGCCCTCAGTGTAACAGGGTATGTGGACATTTGGGTGGCTACAAAAATACTGGCCCCATTCTATCAGTCCCTTTTCTGTAGACTGGTGACCTTAGACATACCCAGTAGGAGGAGCTCCAGTCACCTCCTCCCTTGATGTGTGTGTGACTGGGTTAAAGATTTCTGCCCATCAAGTTTGGGGGGCTGCAAAAGAAAAGTGCTGGACTCAGGAAGGAGACCTCAGACTTGATCCAGGGTTGGAACAAGCTATTTGTGAGCTTTTGAGCAGATTTATTTCTTCTTGAGGTCAGAGGGTGTGGGTGTGAACTCTAAGGGCCTGTCTATCTCTGGCCTCCTGCCACATTTCCAGGGTCCCTTCTCTGTGGCCAGCCCTGTGCTAGACCTTGAGCTCCAGGAGTTTATAGTCTAGGAGCAAATTATTTCCAGGTTTCCTCCACTGGGAACAACTCTATCTCACTCTGTAGTTCTTGATGAAACCTGGAGACAAGTGGTTGAGTGTCTCTCTTGTGCAAGGTACTTTGTACACATTAGCTCATTTGCTCCTGTGTCACAGAGATTGATATTTCCACTTCCCCAGGGAGGAGACTGATGCTCAGAAAGGATGGAGACTTTCCCAATGTCACACAAGCGGGTAGTTGTAAATTCAGATCTCAAACTCAGGTGCCCTGCCTCCAAATCTTTTCCTACCCTGATGCTTTCCATTCCCAGATTAGGAGCTCAGGTAGCTCTGTGGCTTTCTGTAGGCCAGGCACTGTTCTCAGACAACCCATAAACAGGTAAAGAGTAGAAGCACATTTACTTCATTCCAGTGGCTCCCTTGAACCTTCCAATCAGCGTTGTCCACTGCCAAACGTGGCAGAAAGCCAGGCTGCTTAAAAACCCCATCAGTAGAGTGGGGTTAATAACTCTGCTCTCTGCCTATGTCAGGGTTTTGGGGATGGTGATGAACAAGTTATGGGTGTGCACGTGTTCCCAACAACACAGAGCATGGTTCTAAACTACACACTGCTGTGAGCACTTTTTTTTTTTTTTTTAATGATCAGAGGTTGGCATTAGCTCAGAGGTTTTTGATA